AATATATTTTTATAGCTATAAATAAATAAAATTTTTTATAGTTTATTTTTAATTAATTAATTAATTAATTTTTTAATTAATTTTAACTTTACATTTTTAGTGTATTGAATTAGGAAATTACCAAGCTTGCTCAAAAATTGCTCTACTGCAACATAATATTTCTGAAGCATTTTCCTATCAATTGAAAATTTTACATTTACTGAGTCTCCAATCTTGCTCAAAAGTAAAGTCTGAAAATTTATATGAAGAAATGGAACAAAAGTCTATTGAAGAATCTGATTTAAAGAAATCTTCATTAAAACATGTTAAAAAAAATACAGAACTTTTCAATAGACAAGTAGAGAAGAATCTGATTGATTCTGTTAAGGATTGCGCTGCCAAAAACAAAATGAAAATTCCTGCCAGCAAATCACTGAACAGTCTTCAATTACTTCAACAAGAATTATATACATTTGACTGTCAAGGAGGATTAGAAGAATTATGCAAAGATATTAAATGTGAGAATACATCTACAGGAATTTTCGAAGATAGTTTTGATTCTGATGCTAGTTCTGATTCGGAGGAATGGGTGGAAAATCTTATTTTGAAAGAAAATCAATTACAAAAGCAAGAAAAAATAGGAAAATTTACTGAAGATAATTCAGGAATTTCCTCTATGAAAAAAACATTGGATCAATTGCCTAAAAATAATGGAACATTCAATGAAAAAAAAATTACACAATTTTGGCAAAATAATATAACCAATGAAGCTATAAAAATAATTAAGTTCTTTTTAAATGAAATGGAAAATGAAACAGATACTATCAAATGTAAAATATTACAAGATGCACTTGATTTTTGGATTGAACATGATTTAGTTATACAAACAATAGAAAACGTATTTTTAGAGCATATTCAATCAATTTTTTATCCCCTTGGATTATTATTATTTTGGTAAATTCTTTACATGTATATGGTATATTTTTTGAGATAATATAATTTATTATTAAAATATTAAATATTTTTGTAGCCAAGAAATAATGGAAAAATATTTGGATATAAATAAAAATGATACAAAAGTCAAAAGCTTTATTGCAATTGATTATTTTTCTATTAAATTTTGTTTTCAAATATGTTCCATGTTACTACATCACATAGATCAAGGTAAGAAATTTTATTTATTTATTTATTTATTTTTTTAGTATAATATATGGAATAAAAAATTATTTTTTATATTATATTATGTTACTATGTTATTAAATATATTTATATTAGGTTATTAAATATTTTTTAGATCAACCTATGCCTGAATTCATTAAATTATTATCTTCTTTAACGGCTGATCAATTTGGACCACCATTAACTGGATATCCAGGCTCAAGTGGAAATAATACTTCAAAGCAAATGATGGAAGGAGTTATAAGTACTATATCTTCTAATATTCATGATTCTAAATCGTTTGTACATATTAAGGTAAATTTTATATTTATAAAATATTATTTTTTTTAAAAAATATATTTATATCATTTAAATCAATAATCATTTTTATAAAAATGATTTTTTATATAAATGATAAAATTTTTTTATTTGAAATTAGGATCCGAATGAGGTATATCGATTTCTCGAAACTGAAGAAGACACAATAATATTTACATGTGGACATCACTTTTCATTATCTGCATATAAAAATGAAATAATTCCAATGATGGAAACTGAATTATTAACATCCGAATCGTTAGTTCTTCCATGTACAGCTCAGTACTTAGGAAAAATGTTATCTCAAACTACTAAACCAGAAATATTGTGTCCTTTATGTATTCCCAGAGCGTTGGAAACATTAGTGAAGAAGTATAATGGATGAAAAGTATGTACCTGAATTTTATTTTAACAAAAAAAAAACAAGAGTGATATATGCAACTTTTTTTTAAAGATCTCAAAAGATTCTATAATAATACATATAAAATAAACTTTTAAATTAATTTTAATAATCTAAAATGTTGAAAAAAATCTGAAATATAGTGAATATATATTAAATTAACAATATGTTTAAATTTGCAACAATACTTATCTTTATTACATTGTAGATAAGTATCATAAAATAGTATAAAGCTCTCTATATCTTTGAAAGCATATTTTTTAAATTATCTATATATAATTATCTATAGATAATTCTATATAGATATTATAATGCACTTTTATTATTTAAATACATCTTATTAAGTATCAGAAAATTATTTGATTACGCACATTGAAATTGAACTATTCATTGAAACTAGATATTATGTGTTCATGAATTATTGTAAAGTGATATTTCAAATATTTTTTGCTAATATGTATTATAAACTAACAAATAATATTATAATTATATATAATAATATGCATTATGCATACTTTCATTCTATATTTACATTCGTGAAATTCAAAAAGTTGTAATAAAATGCATCACTTTCAATTAAATATTAAGAAATTCAGACCTATATTTAAAAACAAATACAACAATTTAACAAGAAAAATAATGAATTAAAAATTATTTCTTTTTATACTTCATTTTGAAATAATTTTATCAAATTATACAAATTTTAGAATTGAAAAGTTCGCAAACTTTATTGTCAATTCTCTTGAGTAATGTAATATGATTATTAATGAATTTTAACTTATATGGAATTTTAATTTAATTATATGATAAATATTATATTTCATTTGCATTCATATGTTAAAATTTTTATAGATCAATTGCTTATTATAAAGAGTTTTTTTTTGCATCTTATTATAATTTTTTAATTAAACAAAAAAATTAAAATATTGGATCTTAATATGTAAATGATTATAAGCAAAATATATATTTGAAATATGAAATTCATTTCCATATTTCATAATATTTATTTTCGTGATCGATAATATTATGCTACGATTTTATTAAGAGTTCATATTTTTTTTTTAAATTTTAAAGAAGAATTTTAAATAAAAAATAAATTACAAGAAAATAGAGATATTAGAATTGAATGAGAGATGTATTAATGCTCACAAAGAACGTTAAATATGTATAATAATATTGTGGAATGCGATCACGAAAGCGTTAATATATTTATTAACCAAATGTTAATTAATTCTTAAATGTGCATCTATATATAATTGTATAGTAGTATAGTAATATTGTAAAGTATATATGTAAAAAAAAAAAAAGAAAAAAAAAAGATTAAGAAGATGACACAAATATTATCTGTGTAATCTTATGAAATTGGTGCAAAATATTAAGAACTGATGAAAGATCTAGTCTTCAAAGTATATACTAGAACGTATTAATTAATCTTAAAGATTAAAAAGAATATTTCACTAATAAAGTGATAACTGATTCTTTGTGACTTCTTAACTGATGTTAATTAGATGATCAATGTATTCATAAGTAGAAGAATAGAAATTTGTACATAGAATATAATTCATGAAATAAGAAACTCTTGGTTCTAAATGGAACAGGTTCATAAATATGTTATGTTCTATTTTTAAAGTAGAATTGCATGGAAATGAAAAATAACAAAAGAATAATGTATTTATATATATCAGAGAACTCTATTATAATTTAATAGAAATTATTTCTAAAAGAAGATTTTAGAAATTAATCAATGCATATTGTGAAATTAAATGAAGATAAAATTATAATGGCTTAAAATAAAATAATGTTTTTCATTTTTTGCATAAAATAATGTAAATTAAAAAATTTAATAATATAAAATAATTAATAAAATAATAATTAAATATGAATTACAATTATAAAATTTTTTTTAAATGAAATGATAATAAATGATAGAAATACTTATATTAAAATTATATAATTTATTATATAAAAATATAATAATTATAAAATAATTATAAAAATATATTAATTATATAAAAATTATATAATATTATATTAAAAAATTATAA